ATTTATAACTTTTTTCATATTATTAAATAATCTTATCTGTTATTTATTATTACTCTTTTTATTAAATATTCTTTTATGAACTTTTCTATTTTTGTTAAGGTAACATATCAATATTTAAATTTCCATCTGTATCATCTTGATTGATATTTTCAGCATTAGATATAAATTATTCAAACATTCTATTTGATATATTCAATTTATTCTTACTCTATAATTGAACTATCACCAACTCTTTTTAAAAATACTTTCATTAATTATTCTCTTTATAATAATTTCTATATTGCTTCAAATTATCCTTATATAAGATATTTCAATTCTTATGTTTCTATATTAATTTTTATATAGTAATACCTGATTGTAATTAAATATTATCTTTGTTATTTTGTAAATCTTCAATTTATTATTGCATTTATATTATTTTTTCATTTTATTAAATTTTATTGACTTATAGTTATTCATTTTCTTATAATAAAATTTCACATTTCTTTTTTACTTATAATAATGCATTTTCCAATTTCTTTTTTTCTTATTATAACTAATAGGATTATTATAATATTTAAATTTATCTCTTAAAAAAATGATCTATTTAAATTGTTTAGAATGTATCTTAAGTTGAAGATGGTAAATTTAATTATGGTTATGAATTTTATAGATTTGGTTCTTGAAATAAAGTAATTACTAATTAGTTTAATAATGAATTGAATTTTGTCATAAAACTCAATTCTTTTGCATCTTAAGGTAAATTTTAATCTCTTTCTTATAATAAAAACTTAATTTTTTCCTTAACTTTTTGAATTTAAGATTAATCACTTGATACACTGTTGCTATTTATTTTATTTTTAACTGAATGATGAAATGAATAATTTTTAGTTAGAGCAGGAGACTATTAATCAATATGTATCATTGATTAATTTTTACGTAATTAATTTGATATTTTGACTGTTTCAATCAATTCATTGTTGATGGAATACTTTTATTATTTGTGTATTTGTTATGAACCACTAATTACATTCAAAATGCTGCCTAATTTCTATTATGAAGGAGGTTAATTAATAAAAGTTTTATTAACCTTTTATATATTCTCATAAGACTTTTATCTTCCAACGACAGGACTATTATTATTAGAAATATTTTAAGATTAGGTCTCTATTTAATTCTTAGAACTATTTTTGGCCAATTTCTTTTCTAAAATTTTACCTTACAACTTTAACATCTAGCTAACATATATTTATTATGCGATTCTATCATTATCACATTTCTTCATAATTATTAAAAATTAATGTCAATATTTAGAAGAATTTGAACTTTGGTTAGAATTTCAATTATGATCTGAATGTCATGATTCCATATTTAATGAATTGCATTTTTAAGAAGCTTATGAAATTCTATATAAGATGAATAGTATTAAGAGATATGTAAAATAGAATTATTTGATTGTTATATATTTTTTGAGCATAATATTAATATTGCTATGCATAATTGGGTATGTTCAACAAATTCATTAAATGGCACTTAAATGTATTTAAGCATAATTAGAATTACTAAAAAGATTTTCTATTGAAGATCCCTTCATAAATGTTTAATGTGGTCCAATTAAAGACAAAGATCTTTTATGGTAAAGATATATTTTTAGACTTAAGAATTCGCCATATGAAGATGGAATGTTTAATTATAAATTAATTTCTCAAAAAATTATCCATTTAAACCACTAAAGTAAAATTTATAACTCCTAATTATCATCCAAAGATGGATATATTTAGATTGATATATTATAAAATAATAATTGGTCACCAACAATAACAATAACTTAAAGTAATTAAATAATAATAATTAGTACTTTTATGTATTTCTGTTTTATTGAAATATACAGATCCAGATAGATTTATAAGAGAGAGTTATTTAAATGAAAAATATCATTATTAAACAACAGCAAGAGAATGGACATCAAAATTTGCAAAATGATTATACTTATAATTTTTCTTAATTATAAATTTAAATAAATTATACTTAGATTTATTAAAATTAGATAAGATTTAATAATAAAAAATACAATTTGTTTAGTAAAGCTAAATAATATTCAAATATTAGAATTTTTCATAAAGAGATAAAGTTCTTTGATATTTTAACATTTTCCTTTTTAATTATTTCTTTTATTGATTACAATAATATTATTATTATCTATAATATTAATTGAAAAATTAAGATTATCGTATTCATTTTCATTTCTTTTATCCAATTTATTAAATCCTAAAAGTTTAATTTATTATATTAGATCATTATCAATATATTATTATCTCTTATTTTTTTATTAATTATTGATATCAAATTCTTTTAATAAAGGATTAAAGATTTATTCATTCTCTTTACTATATATATCTTTAGTAACTAATTCTCTTAAAAGTAATTTATAATTAATTGTTTATGTTTATCTTTATACAATAGATTTTAATGTTTCTCCTAAATCTTTTTTTTCTTTGTATTTTTAATTTAATTCTCTAGCTATTCTATTATGATCAAAATTCACTCTAGAATCAATTCTTTCAAATAAAAGTTTCTCTTTATCTAAATACATTTAATAGAAACTCTTCAATATTTAAAAAGATATCAATATATTTTATTATTCTTCAATCATAACAAAAACTATTTATTTAAGATGATTAAACATATTTCCTTATCCTTCTATTTAATCAAATAATACTTAAAATAATTTATTAAATATATTAGTTCTTGTAATAAATTCTACATTAATTCTTTCCTTCTCATCTATTTTCTCTATATTCTTAAGATAAAGATCAAACATATATTATTTAATTTGTAATTAAATTCTTTCATCTTAATTTAAAATAAATCTACTACAATTCAATTTACTTAAAATCATTCTAAATTTTGTTCTATTTATAATATTTACAACTCCTCCATTCTAAATATATTATTCTATTATTTTACCCCTTATAAGTAATATTCATATATTTAAAGTAATTCATCTATATATGTAATATCATATTAATTTGGTTAAATCAATACATTCAATAAAAATTCTTTTATTGCATTCTACTCTTATCCATCAATCATTATACAAATGAAATTCAAAGGCTTTTTATTTAAGAAACCAAACCAAGAATCTCTAACTAATTATCTAAATTATTATTCATTATGAGCAAATTATCCAATTTTTGAAATTTAACTCAAAAATGAAGTTCTAAAACTTTCACCTAATCCTAAATTGTCTACCATTTATTCATAAAACCTTTGATTATTATTTTAGTGTACCATTTCTACACATAATCCAAATGTAATGGCAAATAATAATCATATTTTTTTAGATGATCAAGTACTTTTTAATTGGGCTTCATAATTAAATTAAATTATATTAATACATTTTTACATATTAGAATATATGTAAGATAATAATATCTCACTAAAATTATAAGAATGTTCAATTTGTATATATGTTTTTGTATATTAATCATCATTAATCTTATTCTGATAAAGCTGTTCCTTCTAATGCTTATCTTTATTCTTCCTCTTTTCTTTCTTATTCCATTTAATCTTCTCTCATTATATTATCCAAGTCTGTCTATAATTTAATCATAGCTGGACCTCTCTCAATTTCTTATGTCATTTGAAGATATGCAGTATTAAATTACTTAGCCAAATGATCACCAGAATCTTATTCAATGATATTACCATTTGAATCTGTCACTGTATATGAATATACACCAGCATTATTTGATAAATCAGTAACTTATCCTACAACTCCTGGAATATATTCAGCATGTGTTTCAACTAAGGATTTATGTTTTTTGGTCTCATGTTTCACTTCTTCTGAAGTTATTTAAGCCCAATGTTCTATTCAATTTACAAATTTTATACGAGCTTCTTTTGGATTCAAATGGTAATCACTGTCCCCTAAATTAACAAATTCCATGAATGCACTATTGAAAGTTCTCTTTTAGTGAACTGCTGCACCATGTTATTTTCTCACGTGTCCAGCATATGCTGTTAATAGCAATGCGCATATCAGAACTGATTTATACATATTAAAATTATTAATAATCGTTTTTCCACTTTTCATTTTTACATTATATAAAATAAATACTAACACTAATTAATCTCTATAAATTACAAATAACCAAATAAATTCAAAATAAATATCTCAATATATACATCATTTCTCTATTATTTTATAATGTAAAAATTCAATTTTTTTATTCTAATTTAATTTTCACTAATACTTTTCAAAAATAAAAAATAAAAGGTTGATCAAATATTTTTTTATTTTGAATATAATTCTACATTTTATATATATATGTTATGATATGAATATGTTAAATTAAATGATTATGTTAACTTATTTTTTTATTATATAAAATGTATTTACTTTAGCAATTAAAATTAATTTATATAATCAATTACTTAGGTTATATGTTTTGATAATTAAATAGTTAAGAAAGATAATTGTAGAGAAATTAGGAAATATTTGAAAATATAATAATATTTATTCTTCTTAAAATATAGAGAGTTCATAACTTTATAAACTATTTAATTATTAATCCAAAAGAAATTAATAAACATAAGGATTATATTAATATATTTATGTTTCAATATTTAATTTGATAAATGAAATATAAAAACTTTATCAATTTTTAGTAGTTCAATTTATTTTGTAATATAATGTCTTTTTTAATAAAAATAAAAATCTTAATTAAACAATAACATTAAATATAAAATAGTAAAAAATAGAGAATTAATAATTGATAGAATATTAAAATGAAATTCTTATATTAATTATATATTTTAATATTTAGATAATAAAATTCATAATTTCCTTGTAATATATTATAATAAATTTCAAAGAATAAATGAAAAATTGAATAACATAATTTCCATTGTATATAAGACAAAATTAAATGAATTAATATTTATAATATTATAGAATTAGAACCAGTAAATGATGATAAAAAATTATGAATAAAATTAATATAATTATAATAATTTTAATGTATACAGAAAGTCAAGCTATAGATTTAAACAGACAAATATTAAAATCAAGTTTAACAAGATAATTTACAAGATCTCCAACAAGATCAAGAAAAAGAATTATATCTTTACCTCCATTAGAGGCTGCATAAAATTAATATTAAAAATTAAAGCAACGTAATATTACTTACCACAAGGAAAGCCCAAGAGAAGTATTTAATTTAATTATCAGTGTTGTAAGGTTTAATTTGTTTGACAATTCGTGAATTAAATGGATTATGTTTGAATACATGTCGATACACAAAAGAAAAATAAGAGAAAAAATATTTTCTTAATAACAAATATTTTGATTCTTGTTTTAATGCAATGAACAAAAGGAAATTCCAATTATTTAATAAATGATTTTTATTTTTATCTCATTTTCATTTTAATTCATTCTACACTATAGATATGGCTTTTTGCAAATTTGAAACATCTGCATTTTGATAAACATAGAATCCATTATTTTCTTAAAATCCTAATCCATCAAGAGCATTTCTAGCACCTAAAACTTAATCAATTTTAGTCAAATAAGCTTAAGAAGTTAATGAGATTTTTCGAAACTTCTCTTCTTAAGGATTTTTTAAAATGTTCTCTAAAATTTATGTTTAATTTATTCTTACCTAAAACTTTTTAAATAAGTGATAATGAATTATAAGCAGTATCAGGAATAAGATCAGGTGGATAAGCTACTTTAATTTATTTAATGCCTAATTCAAATAATTCAATAGGAGAATAATTTTTTTATTACTATTATTATTGATTAGATTAAGTATAAGATTTTCCAAATCTAGCTTCTTTTTCTCTTCTTAATTATTCTTCCATTTCTTATTTATCTTTTAAAAATTGCTCTCTTTCTCTTTTTGCTCTTAATGCCTCTTATTTCTTTTTCTATTCTTCTAATTCTCTTCTAACATCATTCATAGCTTTCCCAGAAGCAATTCTATTTTTTTCTTATTCTAAAGCAGCCTATTCTTCAGCAATTCTCCTTTTTTCTCGAAGCTTCTATTAAAGTTCTCTAGCTTTAAATGCAGCCTCTTCAGGTGATATCTTTTTGCCAGTTCCAACTATTTGTAATTCCTCTTCAAAATCCTAATCATTTTTATGCTCTTCAATCCATTTTTTTGCAGCTTCCACACCTAAATTTTATGAGAATAATAATGATTTTTCTGCTACATTCTTTGAATGTCCTTCAGACATCAAAATAGCCACATGCTCTTCATTAACATATTTTGTTATTGAATCTAATTATTGAGCTGGTGCTTATTATTATTATGGTTATGGATTATCTGAAGTTTAACTTTCAATGTATGTAATCAAAACCTATACATATTTATTAATAACACCTCAATATCAGTTGAATTAGTTGAATTAATGGCATTTGTAATTTACTCTTCAGTAAATCCCATCTCTTGAAGGTAGGTTTTTGGATTTTCCATTTTATTAAATTTATAATGATGAAAAACTTCATAGTTTTTGAGAAGTTGGGAGAAGGTAATATTAGATTGAATTATAATATAGGATCTTTTTCTACAGTATTGAAAGTTAAAAGACAATCAGATCAATAGGAATATGCAATGAAGAAAGTAAGAATGGGACAATTGAAAGAAAAAGAGAAAGAGAACTCGTTGAATGAAATTCGAATATTGGCTAGCATCTAACATCCAAATATTATAGCTTATAAGGAAGCATTTTATGAAGAATAATCTCAATGTTTGTGTATTGTAATGGAATATGCTGATTAAGGAGATCTATAATAACATATATAATAATATATTAAACATAAGCAATACTTTTAGGAAATAGAAATATGGAAAATGATTTACTAGGTGTTATTAGGTATTTATATTTTAATACTTAATCTTTAGCCTTACGAACGTTACATTAAATGAAGATTTTACATCGTGATTTAAAGTCAGCTAATGTATTTTTGCATCAAAGCAATTACAAACTAGGAGATATGAATGTTTCTAAAGTTGCTAAAAAGGATTTAGTATATACTTAAACAGGAACTCCATATTATGCCAGTCCTGAAGTTTGGAGAGATTAACCATATGATGCTAAAAGTGATATATGGAGTTTAGGTTGTGTTGCATATGAGATGGCTGCACTTAGACCTCCTTTTAGAGCATAAAATATGGAAGGATTGTATAAGAAAGTATAAAGAGGATTATTTGAACGAATTCCATCTAAATTTAGTGGAGAATTGATGACTATTATTGGATTATGTTTATAAGTGTAAAGTAAATCAAGACCTTCTTGTGCTTAATTACTTAGCAATCCAATTTTATTAAGAAATGCTAGATAATTTATTACTGAAAGTAGAATTTCTTAATAAACTTAATCATCTTAGGCTGGTTCTAATGTACTTTTATAGACTATAAAATTGCCTAAGAATTTGAAACATCTTAAAGAAAAATTGCCAAAATCTAAATATTTAATAGAAAGTACCAATAAATCATATGATGAATATTAAGCAAATAGTTTAATTTTACCAAAAATCAATAATAATCAAAAAGAAATAAGACCAAATTGTTCTGTTCCACCAATAAAAAGTGATAGATATTAATAGTAATAATAAGTTCAAATAAATTCATTACATGAAGATAGATCTAAATCAATAGCTAATTCAGTTTAAATGCTTGAAATGGAAAGAATTAGATAAAAGAAATTATTAGAGAAATAATAAAATTTAAAGATTAGTGTAATTCATCAGAATGCTATACCTTACATTAATAGTTCTTCTTCTTAAATTTAAAATCTATATGTAAATAAAATACATAATCATAATGAATAAAATCAATAGAAGTAATACTCAGAAGCACCTAAACCTATTTGGTGGGGATGATTCTATGTTTTTTTTTTTTTTATTTTATTAAAGATATCTTTATAAGAAATGTTTAGATATTTATATGATTAATATGATTAATAATATCTATGTTAGACAATTGAAAAGTAAATTGAATATTATCTATTTTTGTTTTAACAAATAATATTATTATTCACAAATATTAATTTTTTCATTATAACATTATAAGGAAATCATCATCTATTGTATTAATTTTTGGAGATTAAATAATTTAATCAAAAGCTACTTAATAAATTATAAGTACCAACTATTGATAAATTCTCATGAATATTTTTCTATTGATTTATTTATTAATTATTATTATTAATAATAGATTATTTTTTGTAATCTTAATAAAATTATTGGCTAATCAAATCTTCTAATTATTGTAATTCATCAATTTCGGAATCATTATCTTATAAAAATTAATCTTACATTAACTTTTCAAAATAATTAGGTGATTATTAATTTAAAATTTCTGAAGTTGCTTAGATTGGTTATTAGATAGGTTATTATTCATTAATAGAAGATTTAAATAATGAAGATTGAAATTATTCCATCATCATTTTTTCAATTTCATTTAAATTAGGTTTAGAATTATTATCATTTTAATCTAGGTAGAATTATTAATACATTAATTCCTCTAATTTTTGAATTTCATCAGTATTTTTGGTTTTAATTCTAGGATCTATTTATCTAATAGTCTATATTTTATCATAACTACTATTTAAAGATTTGTTTAAACTTGGAATTCTTAAATTATTCTATTTTGAAAAAGAATAATCATTAGTCTAATTATATCTATTTAATGAAGATGTCTCTTTAGATCTAATTTATCTATTTCCATTTTTATCTTAATTAACTTATTATATGCCCATCTCTTTTATTTTACTTTCTATTTATATCTTCTTTGATAAAACATTTTAAATATCAATATAAGATAATAATTAACTATCTAAATGATTATTTGTATTCTTAAAATCTAAATGAATAGATTTTAATTATTATAAAACATTATGATATTTAGTAGAATATGGATTATGACTTCTTCTAATAGAATAACGTAAACTTGAATTTGAAATATTACTATTCTAAATTTTGAATGATTTTCTATCTTCATGTCTATTCTATAATTATCTTCTTGTAGATATTATTTCAGATTTTAAGGGTTCACTTTCCAGATCTACAATAATATATGAATATTAAATCACTTCTAAAAAGAGAATGATTAAGTAACTCAGAAGGTGTTGATCTCTCTTTGGGATTTATTTTAAAGATTGAATTGAATATTTCCAAGATTTCTTCATTCTTAGTAATTTATTAATATGGAAATAATTCTATTTTATAATAATTAAAATATATACATCCTTAATTCATACATATCTTAATCTATTCCAATGTGATATTTATAGATAAATGATGCCAAGGTGATGCTCTTGTTAACATTTCTATAAAGATACAACCAGCACTCCATACATCAGATTATTCACTATATTCTTAACCTTTAAAACATTCTGGTGCACTATAAAATGATAATTTATAATCTTTTAAGATATAGATATCACTTAATTTAGCATTTGCTTCACCATCTACTAAAACATTAGATGTTTTTAAATTCCTTATTTAATTTAAATAATACTTATGAAGTATTCCAGAATTGTGAAGACCTTCTAATCCTTATAATATTTATTTCATAAACATTAAAGCTAATTGACTAGAAAATGAATTGAACTTCTACAATAACCAACTTATTGAACCACCACTTTCATAAGGCATTAATATTCTTATCTCATCTTTAACTTCCTCATTATTTTATATTGAATAATCCCATCCTATTATTTAATGAACATTCTTCAATTCTAACCTTGTTAACATGTCTACAAAATTTATAATATTGTTGAAATCATCTTAAATACTTAATTTAAACTATTCTCATATAACTTTATACAATTTTTAATGCCAAAAGCTAACCATTCAATGTATTTAATGCACAATAAACATTACATCCTTCTTAAATCAAATCTCCTTCAATATAATCATATAATATGTTCTATTCTTATTTATCTAATTTACATCTTCCTCTTTCTCAATTTAATCATCAACTATTTACTCTACAAAATCTTCATTCATTTACTCTCATAATTGAACATCACTTACTCTCATGCTCTTATCGCTTAACTATGATCGATGACCTATCTTTGTAATCTCTTTCTTCTTCTTTTTGAAACATGGTGAAGTACAACAAATTTATATATATATATATATATATATTATTATTTTTAATAATAATAATAATAATAATAATAATAATAATAATAATATATCATCTCGAACTATACCCATTATAAAATATAAAAATTATAATCAATAGATTTTAATTGAAAGAAGATATTCATATGACTCTTAGAACTTTACTCTACTAATTACATTTATTTCATGATATTGTTATTTATTTATTATATACTACAAATATCTGAAGATTATAATTTACACAAAATTATTGAATCCATTTTATATCCTATTACTTTGACTATATAGAAATGTATTAGTAATAAAAAGTTTCCATTATTACAGTAAAGTAAGTCAATTTATTGAGACATAGTCTTTATACTAATAATTTTAATTTGTCTATTTTTACAATTATTATAACTTGTTGAAATTAATAATTACAGACAATTTATGCATGAATAAACTATTTATATTATTTAAAATGACATTATATTAATCTTTATTTGAATGATATTAAAATACTATATATGAGAATTATTTATAATAACTTCAATGTTAAATTCAAAAATTGTGATAAATTAATAAACACAATAGTTAAATCTTATTGAAATTATTTAATAGTATTTTAGTAATTATATAATTTAAATTATCAAATAATGCTTTAAGATAGGTGATCTTTTATAATAGTTTTTGTCGATTATTATTTATTGTAGTGAAAATATTTAATAATTTATTAAGAAGTTAAAACCTTAAGAGTTTAATAAATTATAATTACAATTAATTAGATCTATAAGTTAATTAAACTAATAAAATTCATGAGACATACTATTAACATTCCTTAATTGATAATAATACTTACTGTGATTATTTTATTATTAATTATGATTATATAATTTTATTGATTTGATGTTATTTATATAATATTATATATTAATAACAAATTCGTTATTTTTGATTAGATAAACAATTACTAAATTAAAGTAATAATATACATCTAAAAGATCATTTATCTTATATTTATATGATTGTTTAGAGAATAAGTTCATAAAATAAAAAATAATTTAGATTGTAATCTTATTTGATGTATAAAAATAATTGATTAAAATATGATATAATGATTATAATTATAAAAGCTTTTATTTAATTATTCAAAGTTAAGTAACATTTCGGTAACTAATATTTTGTTTAAGTATAATGAAGTACGTAAAAAGTTTATATTAATGAAACTCTTATAGTAATTTAGAAATAAATTAGAATTCATATACATTCAAATGATCAATAGAGAATGATAAATTTGAAATAAACAGATGATGAGATTAAATGATTATATAATGATTCAGAATACTAATAAAATCTTGGTATATTTAATTAATTTAAATTACAAAGTAATGCCTTTAATCGATTCAGAAGTTACCAAATACTAATGCGATGCATAGGATAGTTCGAAAAAAATATAAAAGAAGTCTGGACATTGGAAATAAGAGGAACACGAATCATATCTTCGTTTTTTATAAGAGAATGCTAATCATAACAAAGGCTAAAGGCTATTTAAAAGAATGAGCTAAGTAATAGGAACAAGAACACCTAGTTAATGCAGGTAATTCTAAGTTTAATAAGATTAGATCTCATCATTAAAAGTTCAATCCTTAAAAACCTTGTGATAAGATAACGTAAATAAAAATACTAAAAACAAAATAATTGGTCAGATAATATATGAATAGACATAAAGAGAAAGATGAAGAGGAAGAGTGAATTATATTTTTTTATGTAAATATTAAATTCAATTTTTGCTGGTTGACGATGTTTAAATATTTAAATAATCAAAAGAAAATTAGATTTCAAGAGCTTGAACATATTTGAAAAGGTAAAATGATTTAGTTTATTTGAAATGTCTTAATTCACAAAATGAATAGAATTCAGAAGATAAATGAAATTTTATAAAGATAGTATCTAAATACAAATAAAATAGAGTAACATAGAATTAAAATAATGAATTAACTTTAAAATGAGTTTTGAAAGAGTAATAAAAATGGATTTGAAAATAAATGAATAAAGTGAAAGAGCTATTTTAAGTTACAATAATACTATTATAATATTTATATATATATTATATTTAATGAATTTTGAGAATATTGTGAAATATATAGAGAAATCTGAGTCTTGTTTAAATTATGAAATAATAACTGCACCTTTTGTGCCGAATACATTTTCATTGTGGAGAGAAGTAGTCTATGAAAATTTAGATCCTGATTAATGGTTTGAGTTTGTGAAACAGATAGATAAATAAATATTTTAAAGATATTTGGAAAAGGTCAGAGAAGCATATGCAAAGAAACTTACATATTAAGATTTGAAGTTGAATGTTAGATATGATATAGATGTTAAAAAATTAGAGAGCATATTTGAAAATGATTTAAGTAATATTATATTAAATAAAATTAGAGAAACAAGTAGATACTATAACAGTTCATCTATCTTATTATCAAGCTTAAGTTGAATATGCTTATGATTTGTTAAGGAGAATACATACATATAAGTTTGTTGATTACAATGTTTAATAATTTTAGACATCGTAAAAGGATTAAACTTTGTATTAAAAATATTTGGATAAAATTGTAATGGTTATATAAATTCAACTTATAGATGAAAGGATTCATTTCAAATGTTTAAGAGATTGCGACTGAGAAGATAAAGGAGTTTTGTGCAACTGGATTAATAAAAAATAATTCATTTTTAGAATCAGGGAAATCCTTTTTTAAATAATTTTTATTTAATGGAGGAGTTGCAGTAGCTAAATTAAGTAATCTAAATTTGGGTTTATTTGTATATTATTTAATATATGATTAAGATTGGTGGAATAATAGCAGAATAAATTGTCAGTAAAGTTGCTTTGAGTATGATGACATAAAGGATTAGTTCTAAATTAGATTTCTTATAATTGGAACTTGATTAAATGACAAATGAATTAACATATATAAATTCAGATTTGGATCATTTAATTTATAGAGCAGCTGAAGAATATCCTAGAAATTTTGAATAAAACAAAACATGTAAATTTATTTCAATTCATTTAAGTTATATAAGCATTTGTTTAAAAGAATTACAAAGTAAATCTAGGATCAGATATTATCTATTGTCCAGATACAAATACTATTATATAAAAGAGTGTTGAAGAAGATTGTGTATTGTTGAATGAAGTTGAATACAATCTATCTCTCTAAGAAGAAATCGATGAGGATTTTTGTATCATAAATTTAGCATCTAATATCTAAGATAGTATTAATAAATAATTTTGATTTTACATATTGAATTGATTATATGAATTAATTATTTACTAAATTTATAATGTAAAATAATAATACCTTTCAAAACTAATATATAAATTTAATTATTAAAACATTTAAAATCTATTATACTTAATTATCGAATTTGACAATAAACCTTTGGATCATAGCAATATTTATCTTAAAGTTGTAAATGCTTAATTGAATAAGCAATATATAATTAATTTTATAAGTAAATAATCATATCTAGTTTACTATTTATTTTGTTAATTATTATAATGATTTATATTTATTAATATATAAATATTAAAAATCTTATTTCTATTAATAATTTAATTATTAATAAAGTATTTTACTAATATTGGTATTTGATATATTTCACTGTTTATTAAATTATAAATGATAAATAATATTATTAATCACATAAAATTGAGAAATATTTATCTTTAAGATTATTAAAATAATCTAATTTAATTTTCTTTATTAGATATTAAATATCTAATAATTATTTCATAAATTTTATGTTTATGAATTATACTTTATCTCTTAAATTAAAAAATTTTGAGTTGTTTAGTATTGTAATTGTTAAATTAATAAATACTATTAATATTTTCTTTATAAAATATTAAAAGAATGGGATCAATATGTTAAAGGTAATAAATAAAAAGAAAGGAATCAAAATAAATTCAAACAGAATAAGTTATTGAATAATTTAATAATAACACAAATATCTTTAATAACATAAACATTGTAATAGAGTTGATTTACGATATTAGTATCATTGATATGGAGATATATTAGTAAATGATCTTGATTTGAAGTAAAAGTAAGAAGTGTATGTTGAAGAATAGATTAAGATTTAAGTGCATTAGGATGTTGAATAATAACTTGAGAATTTAGTTTCTGAAGAATCTCTTCATTCATTCCATCAATCTTAAAATCCAATTGCTTCAATAACTTTAGAAAATGAATAAGAACCATATTCTTAATTACTTCAAAGTATGATTGTGAAAAAGAAGGAGAAACTTTAAGTAATTTAATAAGATATTCAAATGATTGATTACTCACCAATAAAATAGGAATCTAAATCTTAGACATCATAAATCATTTAGTCAGTTGAACCATTTAATTTAGATTTTGAATCATCCTCGTCGTCTGAATCAATTTAATGGAACTAGGAATACACTATTGATAGTAATGGAGAAATTTTGGTAACTGGGATTGTTAATTGACTTTAAAAGTTTTGAATATTATGAATAATATAAAACAATTAATAGAAGCAATTTAAAAAGTGGAACAAGAATTTAGTAAATAGAACATAAATTCAGAAGATCGAATACCCATCATTAGTAAAATCTTATTCAATGAAAATTTGTAAACTTTGGATAATCTAGATTAAGTATTAATCACATAATTTTAGTAAAGTGGTATACATTAATATAATCAAAGGTTTAAATGAACTTAATGAATATATTGATTACTTACTTTATAGATTAGATTCATAATGCGATTTTGAACTAAATTTAAATTATTAAACTAATGATAAAATATTGTAAGAAATATCATTCTGTTAATAATAATTTAAGGAACAAGCGACATAAGATGAAAATGATATTAAGAAAATATAAAGGCCTAGAATCTCCACTTAAAAATGAATTATATATATATATATATTATAAATTTAATTGTTATCTTCATTTCAATTATTGTGATATAAAATATAATCTAAATAAAAATATCATAATTCTTAAAGATTTTAGAACAAAAAGTCAATATATCTATCTCCTTTTACATTCAAAATTTCTAAATAGTATTTTGTTGCTAATTAATCATTTTCATCTTTATGAACAAAGAATAGAAGTTCTTTTATGTATATAATTCTATCAAAATAGTTTGTATCTAAAAGATTTACTATAATATATATACTTTCTTCATCTTCAACCTTTTCAAATTCATCAAACCAAGCTGGTGTATTAACAAAGTTTTCTTTATTTACCAAAGGTCCATTTAATTAAGATTAATAGATTTTCAATTCTTCTTCCTTTGGAGTTGGTGATTATAATAAGATTAAATAAGTACAAATTTATCTTACATTCACATAACTAAAAATAGAATATATAAATTAAATTACCCATTTTGATCAAGTACTTTGAGAACTTTCATCCATTATGATGGTGTTAATTTTAATACTCCATAAGATGATCTAGATAAAAGCAATGCAAGTTATTTAATATCAATAAGCAAATGAGTATTAGTGATTGCTCTTAAGTCTTCAATTAAATAATATAATTGAGATATTGAAAATCTATCCTTATTTAATGGTTCTCTAGCTGTTAAAGGAGGAGGAATAGGAGTTAAGAAATTTAGAACTTCATGATTAATAATGACATCAACAAATTATAATTAGAGTTCTTTTTAAATTCTTTCACCTCTTTCTATATATCCTCTAAATAGATTAGATATGGCATCTAATGCTTTAATTTCAGTTAAATGTGTATAATGAATCCATTCATCTAATTTAGAATATAATAGATCAGCAGCTTATTTATATTTTAGAATAGTTTATTAAGCATATTTTTTAATTACATCAACTCTTTCTTTAAAAATTTATTTTTCTAAATTTATAGCATTTACTGCTTCAACATTTTATAATTCTTTTTTTATAATTTCTTCTTCTTTTCCTTTTTTTCCTTTTTTCTCTTCTTTTTTTGCAGGTTATTTTGTTCCTTTCTTATTTTTATCTTCTATTATTTCTTCTTCTCCAGCAAATATTCTTAAGGTATCATTTATCAATTTATCTAATCTAATTTATGGATCATCACCATCTATCAATAATAATTCTCCAACAGGTGGTTAAATATCTTATAATTCTATTCCCTCTAATGTTCCATAATAATCATTTAATAATTAAATAGAATTTGTTGCTCGATCTAATTCTATTACTAGCATTTACTTTAATTATAATAGATAAAGATCTATTTCATTTTCTATAAATTAAGATGTTTATATTTATGATTTTTCTACTATTAAATCATCTCTCTTTTAATCTATTATATCTATTAATTAATCATATAAATCATCTACTCTCTAATGTAATTCTTCTTTACAAACTTCTTCTTCACATAAATCAGGATTCTCCAAAATAAATTCATTATATTATTCTTAAAAATTTCTAATAAAATAAAATTTTTCATCTGGTGTATTAATTAAATCTATAAATTTTCTTTGTATATCCATTTAATAATTAGTAATAAATTCTCTTTATTCTCTAAATCCCTTAAAAATATTTTAAAGGGACATATATTTATTTTCAATAAGATTCCAAAAACTATTTAAATATTTTAATAATGTTTAATTTGGCTATTTCATAGGTAATGTATCTAATTAAACTTATTTAAATTAACATTTCTTATCTAATTCTTCTTATTCTTATTATTATTTAAGTAATTCTTCTTGTTCCAATATTTTATTTTATTGATTCTCATATTTCTATTAAATTTTATTAACTTGAATTTAAAGAAAGTTTTAAAATACTTAATCTATATCTTAGAATACTCTTTCATAATTATTAGATGCATCAATTGTTATAAATGCATTTTATATATTTGAACCAAATTTAGATTCAAAACTATTATACCAATTTTTGACTCCTTCTATTTAAGTCATAAAATATGAATTTTTATCTGAAATCTATTATTGAAGATTGTCAACTTCATATAAAGGTTGAATTCTTTCTATTAAAGGAGCATTGTCAACAGGAGGAGGATTAGAATCTAAATGATATAAAGAATGATTATGATTATCATATCTTCTACCAATAGCTCTTCTTAAACACATTTCATTAGATGGCATTTCTAAATATACACAAACTCCTACTCCACTCTCTTATTTACTTCTTGGAACTTTTTAATATTCATTTGGTTTAACAATCCTAGCTGCTTCATCTAATCTAGCTTATAATGCTGTAGGTTCATCTTATGGTTGTATATTGGTTAGATATTTTTCCAATAATTTTGCTTAATCATAAGTATGAGGAAAACCAACTAATAACCAACCTTTACAATATGGTTTATTGTTAATCATGTTATTTCTATGAAAATCCTCCCAATTAATACCATCATCATTGAAATCATCAATAGTTTTTATCATTTTAACATTATGATTTTGACATTTCTCTTTTTATTCCTCATAAATCTATTCAAATGTTTACTATTCAAAGGTTCTTTTAATCTTTTATACAATAGCTTTAATATATAATTCATCAGGAATATTTTCTCCTTCTAATAAATAATTAGATATAGATTGACCTAATTCAATTTATTATTGATCCCAAATTTATGAATGTTCTTCTCCTTATTAATATTTACTTATATATTCTAATAATTCATTTATTATAACATCAACATATAATAAAGTAATTCCATATTTCTTACTTAATAATTCACTTATAGTACTTTTACCACTAAATGCAAATCCTATTACAGATCCTCTAAATGGAACATAAGGTATATTGAGTTCTATTTGTTCTGTATTAATAATTTCAAATTAACTTTCTATTAAATATCTCACTAAATTTCCTAGAGTATAATTATTCTATGCTTAATAAATATTCCATGCTCCTGTACCTTCTAAATAATCTTACATCTCCATTTTAGCTAAAAACATTTTTTATTTATAATTTTAATTCTCTTATTTTTTCATTTCGTTGATGGGATCATATGTTCTAAATCTTTTATATGGTATTAAATCCATTCCTTATTCAAATAAATGATTATTTTCTCTAGTGAATTATTCATTTATTTAATTTGAATCATGATTTTATAGATGTTCATAAACTTATTCTTCAATTTCAAATAGAATTTCAACTAATTTTCTACATTTTTCATAATTCTATTATCTAATCAATAATTTATATTCAACATTAATTTCTAATTATCTCTTTTATTATAATTCTATTTCTTCATTAAATTCTTATTATAATGATCTTAACATTTCTTCTTCTTTAAATTTCTAATTAATAACATTTAATTCTTATTTATTTCTATAATTCTCATCTCTTAATTTTCTATTTTCACAAATTACTTCTTTACATTAAAATGCTCTCCATATTTCATACATAATTTCTTTTTCTTATCTACTCTATTATTTAAGTTTTTCTAAAACACAATATTCTCTTCTTTATAATTCATCTGTCTATTTTTCTTAATCTACAATCATTTTCCTTCTTCTTTTATCTCTCTCTTTTCTTAAAAATTCATTCATCATTTTATTTCTTAATCCTAAACTAACAGGTTCATCTTTTTATCTATTTTCAAATTATTCAATTTATTATTCCATTTCACTTTTTAAAAACTCTTAAGTTTATACTAATCTATCTTCTGCTATTTTTTGCATTGTTGATTTAAATTTATCATCATTTACTTTATTTTTATATCTAATCTATTAATTTTTCTTCCAATTTTCAATTCCCTTTTAATTCCAATCTTCCATAAATGCCATATTTCTTTATAATTTATTTAATTGAATCTTACGCATTTCTTCTTTTAAATTTCTTTCTTCTGTTTCTTCCTTTATTTTTAATCTTCTCTCTTTTTCTGCCTATTAAATAGCAAATGTTGTAAATTTGCCTAAATGTTTCTCTAAATTTACATCTTTTTAAGCCTTATTTCTCTCATTCAATTTCTATATAAAGAAATCTTATTCCATCTTATCGAATTAATCTTTTGGTTATCTAATGACCATTAAAGGTTAAATCACATTATATTTTCCTGTTTTAGCATGCATCATCACATCATGTGGATCATTCACTTTTTACAATTACTTATAAATATATCATATCTCTCATACCATTTATAATTAATATAATAATTGCATAGCTACTCCTTTTTTACACTTTATAACTTAATCTGCCATCTAAAAATTAAATGAAATGTGTAATGTCTTAAATGTTGGTTCAAGTAATTAGAAATTCTTCATTTTAGCCTCTCGTACATCTCTATCTCATTATCTTATTTTATTACTTATTTGAGAATTCTTCAAAATTTAGCTATTGATTGAATTTGCTCAATAATTCACCAAAAAGATATCCATTACTGAAATCATGTTCGAATGATGTTACCTTCTTACTTAATTGTACTTCATCATTTAACCACACCATTAGAAGTTACGACATTTATAATTATAATAAAAAATTATCAAATCAAATAACGATGGCACTCAAATTCGTCTGTAAAATATCATGATATAATTAAAAATCGTAGTCATTCAATTTACTTTAAGCTAATTCTTCATAATCAATAGGTGAATCTTTTCCATCTCTTAAAACTCTTGCAAAATTAATTAAATATTCTGTTAACACTAATAAGTATGTTTCACTCATATTTTACAAATTCCTTTATGCTATTGTTAAATATTCTATACAATAATCCTAACATATCTAAGGAACTCTTTCAATACTAAATTCACATGATAATCTTAATTCTTCAATATCATGCATAAACTGTACATAAAATTCATGTTCTTTTTTTAATTCTGGTAATTCTTTTAATAATTATTAACTCAAAACTAATACCCATTTTGATAAACAAAATGCTAATTTTAATAATACATTATTCCCATCACAAAATTATAAAATCTCTGATTTATTAACAAATATTTCTTAACATATATAATGTTTAAATATTATTTCTTATCTTTTCTTTTATTATTCGGGTTATATTGAATTGATATTTGATTTTGTATCACATGATGCACTTACTTCTAAAATATTTGTTTTACTTTAAGATTATGGTTATGGAATTGAATTTTTATCAGCTTTCATTAATGGTGATGTATTGATCATCTAAACAACTTCTTACCAATTAGGTCTTCTAAATTCATCTATTGTTAATGTCTTTTCTAAAAAATACATACTAAATTAACTAATTTTTGCTTATTTTAATTTTTCTATGATTGGTTAACTTAATATTTTTTTTAATAAAGATTATGGATCACTTGCTAACCAAGGAAGATTTCCAAAAATCATTTCAAAATAAATAACTGCTAATGACCAAATATCACATTTGAAACAATATTATTAATAACCAAGTAATTAAGGTGCCATATAATATGGTGATCCAACCAAAGATTTAAGCATATTTGTACTTGAATAATTATTAACAATCTTTGCAAAACCAAAATCTGCAATTTTGAAAATTCCATTATTTATTAATATATTAGCTGGTTTTAAATCTCTATGAATTATACTATGTTTTTGTAATTCTTTAAATCCTTCAACAATTTATCTAAGTACATCAAATGATTCTACTTCACTTAATCTTTTTTAATTCAAAAGTTCCTTTAGATCACCATCTTTACAATATTCAATAATAATGTAGATATATTTAGGAGTATCAATCAAATCTATAAATCTAACAATGTTTGGATGATTGCATTTTTTGAGAATTTCAATTTCATTAATAATCTGTTATTTAATATACTTGTCTTATTATTCAATGAATTTAGTGTCTATTTATTTGATAGCTACTTGATCATTGTTTTCAGTATCTTAACCTAAAAACACTTTTCCATAGGCACCTTCTCCTAAACAAAAACGAGAATTGAATTAAAACTTACCAACTTGTACATTCATATTTAATCGTTTTTATAATAATAATAATAATGAAGCAATTCATATATGTGTTGCTATTCATATGTGTAATGGGATCTGATTTAGAAAGTACATTAAAACAAGTAATAACTCAAAAATATGTAGATGAAATAAACTGAATTTGGTCGATCATTTTTAGAGAAAATATAAATAAATGATCCAGTTGAGAAGATAATTAGAGACATTGCTAATTTTTATAATAATGTAGATAGAAGATTAGAGGAAGGAGTACAATAATTCAAATAGTCATAAGAGAAATGTAATTAAGAAATAAAAGAATTAAAAACTAATGATGAGGAATTGAATCGTAAATTAGTAATTGAATAAAATATAATATATATAGAGAGATATTTAAATAACAAAGACACGTAAATAACCTCGTTATGATCTAATTATACATCGTTTTCACTAGAAAAATAAGATGAGATAAGAACTTGATCACTAAGAAACTAGATATATTGAATTAAGAGAGGCAGAATAATCATTTTTCAATTATAATTAAGATTAATTAGATAAAGCTATGGTAGTTATTGTAGAAATCAGAAATAAATTTATTGCTTATTTGTCACAAAGATAAAATAGATAGAGAAAGGCTGCTGTTAGAGATAATTAATATTGGGATGATGATGAAACTCCATTTAATGATGATGATGATTATGATGAAGAAGAAGAGGAAAGATAACATAATGAGAAATATGCATTCATATAAATCATTGTTGCTATTTAAAGAGTCAAAACTGGATTAGAAATGGTATGATTATAAATTTATATTCAGAATGGAGTTACTTAATTAGTTTAAGGAATTGAAGATTTATGTTAATAAATGCATGATATCAAAGAAGGAAATATTATGTATGATGATTCAGAAGAAACTCTAAATAAATTAGCTAGTTAAGTGATTGATATCACTTCTAGTGTTTTAGATTGGATTGCTTAAGTAAAGAGGAGGGAGGAGAAGGCAGATGATAGCAAAGGAGATGTTATTATTTAAACATTAAAATTGATAAATAAATAAAAATAATAAGCTGATGTTGAAATAGGATAATTGGGAAATGAATCTGCTGCTTTAAGTTAGTAATTGAGTTCATTGGAATAGAGTGAAGATTTAACTAGATTTTCTATTAATAATAACAAAGACTTGTTATAAACAAAGATTGAAATGTGTAATGATTAAGAATCAGCTTATAAAATGGAAAAAAGATAACTGTAAATTCGTGATTGACATTAGGGAAGAGTAATTGAATACAGTAGGGTTACTATTAGAGGCTATGGAATAGAAAGGAGGACAGTTTAAGAGAGTAATGAAGACATTGGAAGGAGTGGCAGATTACAAATGATTCTGGATCTAGAAATAATAATAAATTATTTAATTATAAATTAATTATGGAGCAAAATATTCCTCATCAATTGGTAATTAGGAATAAAAATGGAGTTTATTTATGCAATATGTTGGCTAAAACAGATGAGGAAATGCAATTAATTAATTAAGATGGAAATGTCTAATTGATTGTTTTGGAAAATCATATAATCATGTTTAATAAATAATCTATCAAGCTCCATGATTATAAATAATAAATAAAGGAATTAGAATTTACAAATTTATAGAATATTCATCTTACAGAATCAAAATAACATCTTATCATAATTGATAAATTGGATTAGCAATCATTTTAATTACAAATATTAATGTTTCCTTCATTAGAATAAAAGGGAATCAATTTCAACATTAAAAGTTTCAAAAGAGAAGCTTGGCCTTTGTTAAAATATTCATCTGATGATTAATATTACTTTATGATATAGAATTAAAAATTACATTGTTATGCTGATAATAAATGTGTTTATTAAACTGATATTGGAAATTGTGATTATTTTAGTGTATAACCTAATACACCAAAACCTTTAGTAGTTTGTTATAGTTTAATGGATTTTAATATTAAAGAATCATTTTTAAAGATAGTTGATATAAATGGTAAAATTAAATATGAAAAGAAATTACATTAAACTAGTGATTTAGAAGTTATATGGTCACCAAATGGATAATCATTATTAATAAATAAAGGATTTCATGAAGACAATACAAATAAAAGTTATTTTGGATAAAATTAAGTTTTATTTTATGATTTTCCAAAAAATGCACTTAGAGAATTACCAACTTATGAAGGACCTATTCATCATGTATAATGGTCACCATCTTCAAAGGAATTTATTTTATTATCTGGTTTTATGCCTTCAGGTGCAGTTATGTATGATAATACTTGTAAACCATTATTTGAATTTGGAAAAGACCATAAAAATAAAATTATATGGGGAAATGGTAGATTTGTAATGATATGTGGATTTGGTAATTTAGATGGTTCTATTCATATATGGGATGCTAAAACACTTAAATAAATTAGTAATAGCAAATACAAATCAGCCAGTTTATGTCATTGGTCACCATGTAGTAGATATTATGTTTGTGCAAAAGTAACACCAAGAATGAATGTAGATAATTAATATTCACTTTTTGATTATCATGGAAAAGAAATAATCAATAGAAAGTTTTTGGAATTATATGATGTTTAATTTAGACCTTCAAATATTAAATTTGAAGAAAGACCTCCTACACCTATTAAATAAGTTTAATAAGAACCACCAAAAAAATAATTTATTGCTTTTGCTGATAATCCACTTGCATAATAAATGAGAGCTATGAAAGCAGGAGAAGGTGCTAGAGTATTATAAGTTGATGAAACCTTTGGAAAATAATCAAACAATAATTATCCTCCTGGTTATGAACCTCCAAAAGAAAAGAAGAAAAGAGTAAGAAAACCAAAATAATAATAATAATAATAATGATAGATCATATAAATCTAGAATAATCTATTTCTTTTACTTCTTCATCCCATCTATATTAAAATAAACTAAACAAATTCTAAAAATCCTATGTCTCTACTATTGCATGTGTATGAGGAGGCTGTTTATGTATAGTTGTAGAATATGGTACTTATTTAGGTATAAAGGTATTTACAAGAATCTTCTCTTCTATTTTTTACCATTACACTCCTTCCATCCATATATGTTTTTTTATATCTTAAAATCCATAATAACCTAAACGATTTTTGGGATCTTTTTAAATTAATTTATTTATAAAATCTGCTGCATCTAAAGACCAACCTTCAGATAATTCTGATTTCTTAACAGATACTTATTTATTGATAATATTATCAATCATATCATCAATTGAATTGTATTCATACATTTTCTAATTTTTATATATATTATATTTCTTACTCTTTATGCCATTATTTCATATAATAAAACACCAATTGAATAGTAATCTGCTTCAAATCCAAATTCTTCCCTTAATAATACTTCTGGGGCCATATACTCAGATATATCATCTTCAATTCTAAATTAACCACCGCAACTAGAAGAGTGTAAACCATATAATTTAATATAACCACTGTTATCCAAAAGAATATTACATGGATTTAGATTTGTGTGAATTACTCTTTTTTAATGTAAAAAGTTTAATGCTATTAATAATTGAGCTATCAACATTTCTATTCTCTCTTAATATTTATTTTATACTTGCTTCTCCTTCATTCATTGTTTATAACTTTAATTAAGTTCTTAAATCTCCTCCAGGAACATATTCTAAAACCAAATACAAATTGTATGTGTCTTAAAATGCATAAAATGGTTGGATTAAAAAAGGAAATTGTAATGAAACCATCATGAATAATTCTCTAATATATGCTTTTATCTTCTTTTCATTATATAATTGTAATTTTGGTATCATCTTCATTACTAATAAATCAGGGTTGCCATCCTATTCAACAATCCAATTATAAATGTAACCTCTGCTATGATGTTCTAATAGTCCCTTAAAAGTGAATCCAGATAATGATATTTTCTTCTCTATTTTATACAATATGATATGAAATCATTACAATTAAGTTATATAAAGTCTTATTTTATTGCTGCTGATTATCTTACTCCCATTTTAGTTTAAATCCAAAAATATTTAAATAACTTATACGATATAAATAATCAAATACAAAATCTCAATCATTTTTATTTGCTTATTTATTATTCCGCATTGTTTCTCATTGATTCCAAGATTATGCCTAAGAGAAAGCATTTATATCCAACACTTAACTATAAAATTCGATTGTTACTGATTAAGTGCCTCACTCAATTCTTACATGTATAGAGAATAGGCTTAGTGTAAAACAATTATCATGTCAAAAATGGCTAACAACATGAAAATACATAAGAATCGCTTTTAATCTAAAAATACACAAATTCCTAATAAGATGATTACCAATGATTAAATTAATGGCTAATTACATATGTATTTTACATAAGGAATTAAATAGAAGACATGCTAAAATGGATAATATGGTAGTTTAGAATCAGTTAATAAGAACCATCCAGTAATAATAAAATAGAGTGCAGCAGGAATTAGCAATATTTTCATTATAAATTATTATTTTATTAAAAAACGAATTAATGATAGTTGCCTTATTTATTACAACTGCATTAGCTATATAAATGAATGAGTAGGCTACACTCACAACAGAAGCTCAAACTGCTGTTAGATAATTTCTATAATCTGGCCCATTAGGGAAGATGATGTTTGAGTTTGCTTAATTAGAGATGCACGTAATAAGCATTATCAAAAATTAGAGGCTTCTGGTGCTGTAGATATCTTGATTGAAGTTCTCAAAGCTTTTGGTCGTCAATAAGAGGATAGATTGAATGAAGAAAATACTATTGTAATAATTACTATTTAATATAGTGGTAAAATAGACTAGGAGATCATAATGCACGTAGAATTTAGTATGAGTCATTGGTAACTGAAGGTGGATTAGCTATAAATAGAGATAGGAAAAAATTAACTTAAGAATATGAACCTAGAAAAGAAGAGTTAAATGAAATTTTAACAACTTTGAAAACTAATATGGGCAAAAATGAAGTAGCTAAAAAGAATGCAGAAGCATTAAGAGCTGAATAGAATTCATAATTTTAATAATAAGCAAATGAAATTACTGAAGCCATAAAAGCAACTGATGATACTCTAGAATATATTAAGAGATGTAGTTAGGGTTCATTTATTGAAGTAGATAAAATTAATGATCATCTTCTATTTCTATAAAAAAAATCATCTAAATCTACTGATTATATTGGATCAATAATTTAAGCATTAATGTAAATTAGTGAAAAGTAGAACTTTGCTGATAGAGAGGTTTAAAAATAATTGGTTGATTTATTATAATCATTAAGAGGTTATTTTGTGGAAACTTTATAAGCAGCCTATAATGATGAAGATTAATAGAAATTATTACATGAAAATAGAATGAATCAATTAGAAAATGAAAAATAAGTATTTGAAAAATAATATAGTGATGCATATGCTGAAAGAGAATAAAGATCATGTATAATATATTTATATTTTTAGTATAAATTGAAGATACAAATAGATTATTAGATACAAGAGGAAAAGAATTATAAGGTTATTAAGATAGATTAACTACTGAAAACAATAATTTCTCATAAAATCAAAAGATTCATGATGATTTAGTAGCAGCCATTAGTGGAGAAATTGGTTTTATAGAAAAAGCATTAGATGTTTTGATGACTTAAGCTTTTTCTGATGAACTTTAATCAGCTATTAATAAAGCTAAATGAAATATGATCAAATCAAAAATATATTTATTATTCATTTTAAGTATCCATTATAATTATTTATTACATTAATCTATTAATATTATTCTAATTTAATCAAAAATAAATATTTTCAATAAGTTCAAGAATACTATCTTTAAAGAAGTATTATATATATATATATATATAAATTTATTTTATATTATATAAAAATTAATGATTATATAAAAGTTATTAATATAATTAGATATTAATAAATATTCATTAATTTTGCATATCATTTACTTATTATTAAATATATGATTATTATTATGTTTATTCTAATGGAAAAATAATTGTTGTTGCTCTTATTCTCTCTTCAAATTCTAAAAGATCTTTAGGATCACCATCTTTTTCACTTCTTTTTAATTACATTGCATAATCAATATCATCATATTCTTTTTTTATAAATAATAATTCTGTAGCCAAATTATCATCAGGTACTTTATATTATTTTATTAATGCATTTATTTTAATCCATTATTTCTCTTCATCTTATAAATAAGCTTTGCAAATTTCGCATAACATATCAAAACTTGTTCGATTGTTACATTTTGTACATCTCTCTATTTTAATCTATTAATCTAATATAAAAATAAAAATACAATCACTTAAAAATTTTTATCAAATCTTTCATCCTTATTTAATTGACTTGGATCCAAATCAAATAATGAAAATTACAATGAACTTAAATTCTAAATAATTATTAATTACTCTTAACATGAATCATCTATAAATGCTGTATTGAATGCTAGTCTAAACATTTTTTCTGCTTTTATCATTCCCTCATTAAATACCTTTATTAAAATATCCCCATAAATAGGCATTGGTTTATCCAGTTATAACTAATTACAAATACTTATAAATATACATCATGCTAAATTCCTTTATATTTTTTTGCTTTTTTTTAAGTGGAATATAATTCTTTGTCATTTTTCACTTAAATCACTTACATATAGGGTTTACAACCACCCCTCATTCTAAATGCAGGAGCTCTGTAATTATAATATTCAAATAAAACTTACTTTCCTTAAAATGTGATTCTTTTAAGAGTAATAACAGTGGGATAGATTACGTAATCCATAGTCAAAAGTTTATAGAAATATTCTACATATTTGACTTAACAAGGTTGATTAACTCCTAAACCCTCTTTCTCAAATCTCTTTTTCCCATAATAATATAACACATCTTTCACACTTTTGAATTTCCCTGTATATAGTAAATAACAACATATTATAGTGCCTGTTCTACCTTTACCAGCAAGACAATGTATTACTACTACATTAATTTTGTCGCCTAATCAAAACAGAAATCTAACCTTTCAAATAACCATGTATAAGATCACAGATTTCAAATAGAAGATCTAAAGGAGGTGAGTGATGATCTTTCCATATCCAACAATCTTGTACTATTCCTTTAAATTTTGAAAAGTCATATTTCCTACAGCTTAAATTGAAAACCATATAGTCTTAATTATGTTATGTATTTAAATAGGCAGCAACCTAATTAGAATAAAGGTTTCACCAACCTAATCTATTGGATTTCTATAGAAACCTTCAAATCCTTCTCCAGGATAACTCATTGCAATTATTCTTTTTGTAACATAAGTCAGATCAAGATTATATCCCTCTTATATTAAACGTTTCTTTTTCCCAGAAACCTTTTCTCTAATGTAATTCATTTTTAAATAAATAAAAAAATGTAATATAAATAATTACTAATAGATTATAAAATATTAAATGATTATTTATCCATAATTCAAATTTAAGAAACTGCTAAACATCAGTTTGTTTAAACAATTAAACTTACAACAAAAGTGTAAATTTTCATTCATTATCACTGATAACTTTTCTATTATACAGATAATCTTATTTAATAATTCTTGAATTAGTCTATTTATAAAACTTAAGTGATGATTTCCTAAATCAAATATAAGGTTAATTTTATTTTTATAATATGATATACTAAATAATAATATTTAGTATATCATATTTGAATATCATTATATCAAAATAAAATAATAGAAAAAAAACAATGGAATTATTTAGATTAAAAAAAATGAATCAAAATGATAGGCTTTTTAAAATTTTTTAACAATTATTTAATTGAGAATGCAAGAAATTTATATCTAATGTAATTATATTTGATC